GGCCGCCCGCGGGGGCTCCGCTCCGTGGGGAGGGCGCGGGAGGCGGCCGCCCACACGCGTGGCCCGGCCGAGGGGGCTGAGCCGAGGCGGGGGGCTGGGGGGCGCCTTCGGGGCCTCGCGCAGGGCTCCCCTCCGGAAAAGAAAAACAGAAAGAGGAGAAAAATGAAAAAAGAAAAAAGAAAAGTATTTGCCGAAATCGTCGTGTTTTCGCCGCGGTTACTGTCACTGCGGCGCCGCGCGTCCCGGCCCGGGCCTCGCTTGGTTTAACGCGTGTCCCGGAGGCGCCGTGGGTCCCGCCGTGGGTCCCGCCGTGGGGCTGAGGCAGCGGGGGAGCTCCCCAACGCCCCCCCTTCCCCCGGGCTTCGTGGGGAAGGGGATGGGACCCCCAGGCCGTTTCGTGGGGTGCGACCCCCCCAAACGTGTCCCGCGTGGGCCGCGACCGGCCTCGTTCCCCCCCACCCCACGCGTGTCCTCGGCGCGAGGCCGCGGCGCCCTCAGAGGCGGGGAAATAGCGAGTATATTACGGGGTAATATGCACAAAATAGCAAATAATGTGGGGGCAGGCGGCTGTAAACACCTGGAGTGGTTTGTGCTGTTACCCCTTAGCGCGGTGACGGCCCGGTACCGGAAAGAGAAAGGGGGAAAAAAAAAAAAAAAGAAAACCAACCCAAATCTCTGTTTTTCTCCTCTTTTTGAGCGGTTTGAGCGGGCGTTTAGCAGCGCGGCCCTGACGGCTGAAATCCCGCCGGCGCCTGCTCTTGGGCAGCCGGACGAATGCGCTGTACGATACCCTTGAAAGCCCATCGGGAAGCCCCTTTCCTGGCGTTTTAGCTCCTTTTATTTATTTATTTTTTTTGCWATTTAATTTYGCATGTTTTTAAACTAGCGCCCCGTGCCTCGCCGCAGGGGCTGGCACCGCTGTGCCCAGGGTCCCGCGGGGAGGGGACGGCAGCGCCTGGCATCGCCCGCCCTGAACGGGCCCCATTGACTCCCTGCCACGGCCACGGGCCCCGCACGCCTTTTGGGTGGGAAAACTGTAAATTTGGCTGCGGCCGGGGACGTTCGGGAGCCGCCTGCCCACAAAACAGGGCCTGTTAATTGCGGGGTGCGAAGCGGGGTCCCCCCCCCGCTCTGCACAACAGAGTCTCGCTTTAATAGGTGTGAAAAGTTGTGGGTTTGATTGAATACCAGCGCCTCAAAATCTGCTCGCCAGCTCCGTGTGACTTAATCGTTTCTCTCCTGCTTAACTGGAGAGCCAGGTGAAGGTTGAGGAGGAAGCTTTATGTTTTGCTAAGCGCTCCTTRAAACTCTTTCTTTTCCGCCCCCCGTTTAGATCAGGATTGCACGTGGATGCCCGGGCGAGCTGCAAGTAATTTTCTCATAGGCGGATGAGGCGTCTTTGCGCGGCAGCGAGACCCCGGCCGGCTTTGGTAAGCGCCAGCATCCAGGGTGCCCGTTCACCGAGATGGGACCCTGTGAYCAAGCAGGTTTGATTCCTTCTCCCAAGGACCATTAAAGCTTTTCTTGCGGCTGGTAGTGCAATCTGAAAGGAAAAATACAGAAAAAGGAGCATTGGACCTAAGTGTCTGCCTAGAAGATAGTGAAGCCTTGGAAGTGTGCACAGCTCTTGTTCCTGCCTCTTGCTTTTCTTGGCTTTTGTGTGGACGTTTTGGTCAGTGGGCTTGTTGCGAGGCGTTTCTCTGCTTGGATTTGAGCTTTTGGAGGAGATCTTCGTTTAGGGGGAAGTTGCTGATTAGAAACCAGCTCGTCAGCGCTGCAAGCTGTGCCGTGGAGAGGGCACAGGAATGCTGCGTTGGTATGTGCCGCCCATTGGGGTTTTGTTTTTCTTTTCTTTTCCACCAGCTTTTAATGATTCTGTTTTTTTAAGCTGCTCTAACTCTTATTARCTTAATAAGGAAAGTCAGTATGTGTTAAAGTTGGTGTGGCTGGCTTTAAAATACGCTTTTAATATATATTGCCCTGTAAAACAAAACAAGGACTGCATCGGGATAACTGCCCCTAGTGCAGGTTCTGTGTATTAATGTGGAATTGGTATGCGTTTATTTCCCAAATACATTTTTTTTTTCTTTTTCCTCTGTTGTGGCTGAGTGGTATCTCATGTATCGCTTCTTAATCCTGCTGCCTCTGTCTTATGCACTGGAGGTGTCTGTGCCAGCATAGGCAGGGTAGGTAGTTTTAGTCTAGTTAATTTGGGCAGCAGGACTGGCTTTGGGGTGGCTGTTTGCACTTTGCATCTGTGCCTCATTTGGGCCCCTAATTTGAAGCACAAATCTAGGTTTCTGCAGTGTCATTGCAGCAAATATCCAAGGTAGGTGGATTAAATATAGTTCAAGTGCGGCTAAATGTGTTGCAGCTCCGCTGCAGCGCAGCGATGACAACGACGTTTATGTAGATCCCTTTCCTGTACATCTGGTGTTCAACCATCCCTTCCCCATGACTGCTTAMTACTGTTTTAAGAGTGCAAATGCACTGCAGAGGTACACGTGCATGGTCATTAAGAAAATGCCAGTTTTATTTTTTGAAATCATTCAGAAATGGTTGTTTGTTGTCTTGGCATGTGGAAAACAGTGCTCTTTTTCCTAGGATTAAAAAAAAAAATGAAATCCTGCTTTGGAAGCTGCAGTGCCTGCACTTGAGAGCAAAGTAATGCATTTAGGGAGCAGGGAAGCTGCTTTTCTGCCAGTTAAAAASTCTTGCTGTCCTAAAATGCCATTCTGCACAGCACTTGGAAGCTAATGTGCGATGTCCTCCTGGCTTGCAGCAAAACAACTAATGATTAAAAATTCAGCAGATGTTGTGGTTCATTTAACTACTTGTTCTTGCATCATTCAGGTCATATCACACAATTAAAGTTGCTAATGTTCTATCTAGCTTTTTGGGTTCTAAGAATGGAAATGATCTGAGCTGCCATGGGATTTATAGAACTGTTTTGGCAGGAACTGGGCTAGGCAAAGTCAATTATTCAGAACAGTTTTCATCCTTTCCTTGACTTGCAGAATCTCCTTTTTATTTCTCAGATATTATTTATTCACGCTAGGCTTTCACTTCTGCAGCCTTTTTTTTTCCCCACTTTGATTTCTAAGTGATTTTCTTCTGATTGCCTTGAGATAAATGAAATTTCCGCAGTTTGTGGGAGATGTGTGGTAGGTACAGAGTTTTACATTCTTACTTGAACTCAGTATTTCATTTGGCCACARAAGTATATTTTTTGTGAGAAGCCTTGCCTAGTTTTGGGCAGGATTTCTGGTGCCTTCAGCCCATTTACTTTAACGTAGCAGAATTTTGGTAAATAGCTGTTCAGTCCCCTGTGTCTTTTGGTTTTCAAACACTTAACGACTTACCCTTTCCTTTCTCCTACTCTCTTCCTTTAAATACTTGGTGGTTTCGGGTTCTTTTGGAGCTCCTGGAGGTTCTGGAAACATTTCCTGGGCTGCAAGGAGCTACAAAACACGCCTGAGGTGTCAGGTCTTGGAGCTTGTTTTTTTGTTTGTTTTACCACCACCTTTTTTATCTGTTTGGAAGCTGCTGCAAAGTGAGAAGGCAAYGTTTCCCATCGCCTTGAGCCTGGTAACTGTGTTTTTGCATGACCTGTGACGCTTGTCTGCTTGTGCTTGTTGTACGTTGTTGGTCATTGGTAGGTGGAAACCCCACGACGCGGTTGTTGTGTGTCCCTGTATGTCTTTATGGGCTTATACGGGAGAAAAACGGTAGAAATTGTGAGATTAAGGAAGATCTACAATCGAGAAAGGATCTTTCTCAATGTCTTTGAGAGCATTGGGCTTGCATGCTTCCTAAGGATAAATTCAGGACCTAGAAGGAGGTTGGATATCTTGGTCAAGGACACGGATGAGCCAGCAGCGCAGYGCTCTGGACAAGCTATCAGGCCTTATGGGGCTTTTAAGCATAAAATAAGTGGTAGATCAATAATAAAAACATAAAAAATGGATTTAAGTATTGACAATATGTGATAAATACACCTGCAAACCTGTTTTTGGAGGAGCAATGGGTGCAAAAGAGAGACTTTGAGCTTGAGCGTGTTCTTGAAGCTTGCTGTTTGGGTGACTTCTTTTACATGTTCCGCCGATTAGCACATCAAGAGGATTTATTTTTAGTCGAGGCAGATATTTTTTCTTTGAAGAAACCTGCCTGGGCTATGAGCAGCAGTGTACTTTGAGGGAACTTGTTTCAGCTGAGTTGTTGGTAGATAGTCAATTGATTTCCAAAACTGAAGCTTTCAGGATACCATCCCCTTCCTGCCTTTTTGTATCCTGCCTAGAGCGATGGAAAAGAAACATCCAGGTTGTTTTTGGCTTCTTAACACCATGTGCTCGTTAGTGGATGCTGTAGTTGAAGAATTGATATTCAGGATAATGTTTTAATGCAAAAATAACTTCATACCTCACTAATTCTGCCTGCTGGGAGAATAAAGGGGGACTGACTTCACTGCTTTATTTAGGACCTGCCTATTGCTGTGCTAATTACCATGCGTGAACTCGGAGAATTAGCAGGTTTTTTGGCAAATCTTAATGACAACCATTTAATTTAGATTTTTTTTCAACTTCAAGCATTCTCAATGTCTCTAAGCTACTTCCAGCTCATTTTGTGATTTTTTTTTTTTTGTGCCTCAGTATTTTCCAAGCTCTGATTTACCAAAGTTCAGTATTTTTCCCTCCTTGCAAGGACTTACGTAATTAAGCAGAAGCTTGCTGTCTTTTCCAGTTAACTTTCAGCCTAGATCTGAACATGCAGAAACTTCTGCTGTCGTTCAGATAAAAGTTTTGGAAACAGAATCTCTTAAAATGAATGCTAGAGTGGTAAAATCAAAACCTAGGTTTCAGTTGTCCTTTGCTGTGTGGGAAGAAAGCGCTTGATATTTTGGGTGTAAATGCTTTAAAGAGAGTCACCGTGGGGAAACAACAGCATGTCAAGTCTGGTTGCAATTCTGCAAATCCTCAGGGGCATCTCAACTCATGATGGTGAATTCWTGTCCCTCTTACAACAAGGCCATTTCTGACACATTTTTCACCTCCTCATGGTGTMTGATGATGCCTTTTCCAATGAGGTTTCTTTCGTTCTTGTGACCGTCTCCTTCTTTCCGGTTTTCTAATTGCTAATCAAGGGCTATAATCAAGGTAAATCATTAAAATGTTTGCAATGTGGTAGTAAAAACCCTTGCAACTTTATTGGAATGCCTACGCACCAGCCAACCTTCTCTTGGATATGCCAGCTGGGATTTATTTCCCACATTGTGGTGTTATCCCAGTTTCTGTCCTGGTGCCATCCCCCTTTTCCCTTCTGCAATTTGCAGCCGCGGTTCCTTCCCCCCCCTGCCTCCTCCCTGTGATTTTTGCCGATCACTTAATGTTGTTTCTTTTGGGATGAACTGGGTTGTGTTGCTTGGCTCTTTAATTCCTCCCTCTAATTGGCAGCAAGCCGAGCACAAAATCTTGTTCATAAGTCGCCCTAGAGATTTCTTTGTACATGCTGCTATGTCTTTTTTTTGTGTTTTTTTTTTCCTTGCAGGCTAAAAACACTGCCTTTTAATTTTATTTATTTGTTTTCTTAATATTCAGCTCATGCTTATGTTGAGGGCACTTAGGCTCAGGTATTGCCACCCTTAAGCCCAGCAAGCAGCTTAAGAGCGTTCCTGGGTATTTTGTTGCTTCCAGAATTTCTCTTAGCGTCGAAGGCAGTTCGGAAGGCAGCTTTCCCTCTGCATCTAGGTAGGTAGAACTGAAATAATTCTCGGTTGCATGTGATGCTCAAAGCCTAAGGCACAGCTTGTGCCTGTGCTTTGGCTCTCTGTGGCGTGCCGAGCGTGGGGCTGCGTTTAAAGGGTTTGGGCACTGGGGGTTCAGCCGCACGCGGTTCGTACTAAGCGAGCGCTGCTACCACTGAACCGGGCTCTGCCCTCCCCGGTGCCCCCATGGGCTCTTCTAGGTTACCCACCCTTCCCTTTTGATTTATGAAGCTCCTAAGTGAGGGCTGGGTCCCAGATTTGGCCTCTCTCAAGCTGAGGGTGCTTGGACTGGGGCTCGTGGCCACCCGGCTGCCAGGGATTTTTGCCTTTATTTTCACTCCCGAGCACCCGTGTGYGCCCCGTGATGGGGAGAGGACGGCTGGGTGCAGGCATGGGCACAGCTGAACACYCCATGTGTGGGAGAACTGCTTTCCCTTTTTTCTTTTAATCTTTTTTTAAGGGAGGATAACACCTACGGTCAATTTTTTATGTGAAGTAGCCTGTATTTCAATAAACACAAGGATTAAAAGATGTAAAGCACTCTTGTTTATGCATTTAAAACCTGCTGAAACATAACTCTGCTCCTTTGAATTTCTGGCAGTCAGGGAATTACAGAGCACAAGGAGGGCATCTTTGGTGGCATTAGAGAACAGAAATCCCGTGTTTCTCTTGGGGTGCCTWGGAGTATTTCTCAGGTGTGGAAGGACTGCAGATGTGGTCCTAGTAAAATGTGTGATTATTTGTGTTGAATAAGACYCTTCAGCAGAAGTTGTGGAAGTGGTTTCGGGAACAATTACTGGGAATTCTCTCAATACTGAATTACAGTACACGGGCTAAGCAGAGCTCAGAGCGGTTTGCATGGGGCTCCGCTCTTCATGCAGTGGCTGTCACTGACATGGGACAAAAACAGTTCTGCAGATTGCTGTGCATTTAACAGCTTGGGGGACCATTAAAACTGAATCCACAGAGATCAGCTAGAGGCTTCGGCAAGAGTGGCAAGAAGTGGGGGAATTGCCTGCCRTCCCACTTGGGTTTTATCAGAGTAAACCAGAGAAGTTTTCATGGGGTGGCTGTAAAGGAGGAAAAAAATACAGCTAAGAGATTGCATAGAGAAGTCTACCAGGCTGCTTTGCATTCGAAAAAGCTTCGAGATGCACAGAAAGTGAGCGGAGAAGCGGCTGATGGCAGCTGCAGAGAGTTCCCTGGGCTGGCGGCGAGGCAGTGGCTTTAATTAGCGCAGCCAGAGCGGTTTGGGGGAAGGACTCAGGAGCTCTGCAGCGCGGGCCATCCTCCGCGCGTCTCCTCCGAGCCGCAGTTTCAAGCGGGAGTTTCTTCCGAGGGGCAGCTTGGCTTGGAGTCCGTCCAGGTATAAGCCCCGCTTATGGAAATAGCCACATGTCCTGCTCTGCGAGCAGAAGGAGCAGCTCTTGGAGGGAGCACAGGCTGCAAATTGCTTAGATAAAACCAGCCGGCGTTCATTGAGCTGCCTTGCTAGCCCTGCACAGGGTGCAGGTGTAAGGTAAGACATGGGTGGTGTTGATTTAACCTGCTTGGTTTCAGTAGGAGCTGATGGGAAGAGCTTCTGCAAAGCTCCCTTCTCTGCAAACCGGGGTGCTTTCACTGGAGTAGCAAAATGCAGGCGAGTTCCCCTTAATATATGCATGCATGTGGGTACCTGAGAAAGCATCCCCTTAAATAAAGCAGTGACTTTCTTCTTGGGAGATGCTGAGAATAACYCCTGCGGTCTCCCAGTCGGGGCCAAGCCAGACTTGTTAGCAGCTTGCGAATGACAGCTCTGCCTTGCTTTGTAGGTATTTTAAGTGGTGAGGGTAGCATTGCTGGAGGGAGATGTGATAACGTCTGTGCTTTTCTTCGCGAGGAGGAGATGGGGCTAATTGCAAACCTTCCCTTTGCAGCTTCTCAATTATCGCTGGAGCAGCCCCGCAGTCTGCTCTCACAGCAGATAAGCGCTGTAGCTGCACTCGAAGCAAAACTTAAGTGCTCTTTCCTCTTCCTCTGCAGTGAGACGAATTCCCTTGTGGGAACGAGGTTTCTTGCAGCCACTGTGATGCTTCTCTGCGCTTTCTGTGTGTTTGCAGCATGTTCCTGGTGCACCTGGCAAAAGTCCCCTCAAATACTGCGCTCCCTTACGAAGCAGCTTCTGTGGAAGGTTCTGCGAGTGAGTTGCCAGGTGGAGATGTGTTGAGCTTTGTCGTGAAGTGCTGCGAACGCGGCATCCCAAAGGGGGTTACCTAAAACTGGTTCGTGTTAAGCCTGTGTTTTTCAGAGAGCTTCGTGGTAATACGGTGCTCTTGCTGCGTTAGGCCCAGCCTAGGTAAGTAAAACAGCTGGAATGGGTGGCCCCACGAGCAGATCTGCTGTTTGAGAGCAAGTGTTGCCGTCTTTCACGTGGCTGTGTTGAGGAAACTGTGCTTGAACTGTGTGACTTTGGGTCTGCAATGTGGAAATGGCCATGGATGCAACCGATGATGCAAGCGAGAGTCACCATGAAAGTGTCTTTGTGCTTCAGCCTGATAAAAATATTGGGTTTGGAGCTGATGTTTCTGAAGGTGTGTGAGTGTTTTTTTTTTATTTTATTTTTTTATTGCAGTTTTAGCAGGTTTGGACCTGGTTGTGTTGGTTGTTGAGTGACCAATAGGGCTGGTGTTGTAGAACAGCTCAGTGTGGGCCTGTCTGTAGCTCCTGGCATAACTTAACTTGATGGTGAATTGGAGAGAATTAAAGACCGTGCCGTCCCCTCTCAAGTCTTATTTATCAAATGGCTTTAAGACAGAGATCCAAGCATGTTTTGCAGACTGGCTTGTGCGTGATGCCATGCAGTGCATGCGTCCTTGATGGAAAGCAACTTTTTCTTTCTTTATTAAAAAAGTGATTCTATTTTTTATGAGGGGAAAAAGCCATCTAGARCCGGGGTGGGGGTCCAGGCTGGAGGCAGCCTGGACGGGTGCCCCGTCCCTTTCCTGTGTGTCTTTGGGAAAAAGTTGTGGTGGGACTTGTGTGTGGGGGGCTCCGCAGGGTGGTGAGGAGGGGTCTCCGATGGCCCCAACRCCTACGGTGACGGCAGACGCTGCTTGCAGCAACGCCTGGCCGTCTTTCGTGCTGAGGTGGCTGATAAGATAGTGCCTTTCACAGGCCCGGGAAGCCACGGAGCTGGTTCTGTCCTCACGGAATTACGGGATCCCTCGGTCCTGCCGGGGCCCCTCTGGCCCCTCTCCGGGTGTCTGCGGCTGAGGCTGCCCCTGGTGCGTCAGTCGCTTCCGTCCTGTGCTGGGCTGTGGGGGTGTCCCTGGGCTGCGTGGGGCCGAGGGAGCCCGGGCTGCCCTCGACTTCCGCGCCGAGGCCCTGCCAGCCCGTTGCATAATCTGCTATCGCTCGGGGAAGGTGGTTGTACCGGTCGTTGCAAACTGGTGTAGCTCAGGTCTGAGTCAAGCCCGGCCTCTTCAGGCTCCGACAGGCTGTGGAATTTATTTTTACACCACCACGGGGGCGTGCGGCAGCTGAGCKGCGGTTCCCAGCCCCGAGGCCCGTGTTGGGCGTTAGATAAGGCCRCCTGCCGCAGATACCAGCAAGGAGCTGGGCGGAGGGGCGAGCAGAGGGCCAGGGCTCCCTTTGGAAACGCCCCTTCGGAGGTCAYGGCGAGCAGGGAAGTGGGAAGCGCYGCCGCTCCTAGGTGCGGGAGCGGGAGGCGGATGAAGGTGACCTGGGACGTTCCAGGTTCCAGCCATGAGGAGCGTTGGGTGTTACGGAGAAGTAACCCGGCCCAGACCCTGAAAACTTGTGTTTGGTGTGAATGGAGGGAGAAGCAAGGAAAAAGGTTGAGATTTGGAGAGCTTTGTGTCTCTATGGCTCCCAGTCCTGTGATGACAACTTCTTCCTTGCTGCCCAGTGGGACATCTTGTGGCAGGACACCCATCTCCAGCTGGGGAGTCTCCAGGTGCTCGCTCCTTTCTGGAATTCCCACGAGTTGGGGTTGGCCTTAACAGAGCAGGTCTCAGCCGTGGATTTCACAGGGGGGAATGGTGGGACGTGAGTGCCTGTCCTCGCATGGCTCGGTCCGTGTGCAGGTGGATCGGGCCGGGCGCTGCTTGTGCCGCAGCCCCGGTGAGGTGGGAGCTGCGGAGCACGTTCCCCGCTCCTGCCCTCGTGCCTGAAGCTCATCGCTGCGGAGCGCTCTGGCAGTTCCCTGCCTGCCTGCCCTACTTCAGGTTTCTAAGGAGCAACCCAGGCCATGGGAAAGGGGATGCTCCACTTGGCGAGGTGGCACCTACCGTGTGCCTGGCAGGTGGTGGCAGGGATGGTGACGACCGACTTTGGGGCACGTGAGATGTGGAAATCCACCATTCTGCCTTTCTGTGGGCACYGAGCTGTCTTTCCAACTGGTCTAAGGAGCAATGTACACGTTGCTTTCYATGTACCCCTTTCCCATGGGATATATGAGCTGTGCTCCTTGCCTTTCTCTGCGTTACTGCAGTAAATCCCTTCGGGGTTGAGACCGTGGTTGTAACACCATTAACTTGTAACTAATTTGKTTTTTTCTTCCCTTTTGCTCCTCAGAAATGCCCTTCTCCTGAGTGTGCAAGGAACCTGCAGAACTGTAATGCCTAACCCTACATGGAATAACAACTCTTGGAAGGTACCACCCTTTTTTAACTAATACCTGACTTTGTTACAGGATGGGTTAATAATGTACCAAGCTCCKCTTCATGCGCAAAGCTTGAAGCTGAGGCTCCCTGTCTTATGTAATGCCACCTTTTCCAAAAGATGACCCTCTAGGTGCTGATTTCCTGAAAATCCACGTGTGGTCCAGCACGTGATCCAGGTGTCCCGGGGCCATCCCTCTTCTCGGGGAACGGTCTCCGTCGGCAGGTCCGGTGCTGCCTTGGGAACAGATGGTAGTTTCTATTCAGAGAGCCGAGCTAAGATTTCTTCGTACGTGGTGGCCATCTCTGGAAACACGCTGCCCTTCCTTTGGGTGATTCACCATGACTTGTCTGTTTGTCTTAAAGCTAATGAACTTCTGGATCATCTCTCTTGTCGGGAGGTTTCTAGGCGTATTTAGGAGGACTATTACRATAGTCTGCCTTGATGCTTCCTTTTAAATAAGCCTTAACTCTTTGTGCTGCATTAGCCAGCTCTGAGGTGTGGGCTTGCTCTGCCGCCTGATGCTGCAGTGATGCCATAATACTGAATTTTGGACTGCCCYGTGCATTGCTATGGCAACAGACTGATGTCACAGGCTCAAGGACATGACTTCAGCGTAGGATCATGCAGAGGCACGATCAGGTTTGTGAAGGAGAAAGCTGACTAATGCGCGGCGCAAACGCGAGCTGCCTTCCAGCTGACCTAGCAAGGTGCTTCAGGAGCAGAAATGCCCTCCCAAAGAGGCACGGGTGGATCTGCTCCCAGCTCAAGGCAGGGACCTTCTGCAYGCTGAGCTTCCTTTTCCAAAGGATAAGCAGACATCTTGCAGGTATCCTGTATCTTATAAATAGGTGGTCTTCTGGGGTGGGGAAACTTGCTATTTTTGGCTTCAGACCTTTAAAACGTTGCTTCTTTCATATTTTTCTAAGAACTTGGTAGTCTTGGGTGCATATTGATAGCCCTTCTACCAGCTAACTAGTGTTCAAACCACTTAATTGGGTTTTCCAGAGCTTTTATTTTATCTATAACATTGGGAGGTGAAAAGGGGAGCTCTGCATCTGCATTATGGTCACATTTTCCTATATCCTATTAGCAGATTCCAAGATTGTTTAATGTGCTCTCCACCCATTTCGTTTGGCTGCAACCTTTGCTCCCATGAAAACAAGGCTGATTGTTCTGAATTGCTCTGTGTATGTGCTTTGGCACAGCATGAAGGTACCTATAATAACACAACCATTGTCTGGAGAAAAATAATAGGAAAAAAAAGGCAGTTTGCAGCAATAACTACAAATAAAAGGGTGCTGGACTCGGGCAAGACAGTAATGGTAGTTTTTCCACCCATGGGTGCAACGGACTCTCAATGTGGTCACCTCTTGGCATGACCTGCCTGACAGTGTCACAGCCTTCGGTCTGGCCTGTGAATATTGGGAATAAGGCACTCAAGTATTTGCATGTTGTTCCAAGCTTCTCTTTCCTGGACACGGTTCCAGTGCTCATATCGAGGGATGGGGAGGCTGAATGACTTTTGCACAATGTGGGTTTTTATTTGCATGCTGTGAGCAGTTTAACAAGTGCGTGCGCTAAATGAAGCGTTCCCGCTTCCAGTTAGCAGCTGGTGCACCCTGAAGAAAAAAAAAGGGGGAGGAAAAGGAGGTTTAACAGGGAGGTTTTGAGAGGTGACATTGAGCTGTGTGTTTAAGCAGACAGTTGCACCAAGACTGGATGTTAACTGGAAATGCTGTGGGATTCGGTAAATAACCAACCCAAGCTCGTCTGTGCTGAAAAAATTGTCACTYGTGTCTTCATATTACAGAATGAAGCCCACTGAAGTGCACGGTTAGGAAGCAACAGCGTTATTGGAGTGGTTAGTKTCCCAGGAATTGAGGATATTCAACAAAACCGGCGTTTCTCACAGAGGTTTGGTTGCCGCCCCGGGCAGGAAGCCGCAGGCTGTTAAAAAAGAGGCAGGGAAGGAGGAGAGTGACCCTCTCACTAAATCAAGAGGCTTGAATTTGGTGCTGGATCAGAAGCTGAAAGGGCTGGAAGCTCTGCAAGATTTAGTGATTCCCTCTGCTCTGCAGGGAGCAGCCAAATCAGTGGGGCAGGACTGTCGGGAAGTCGGTCCGCTAAAAAGAGCGGCTTTGTGATCCGGGAGAGGAAGTCCGGAGAACCTAGGAAAAGCAGCAGATGTTTTTGGTGGGGGAAAACTTTACCCTTGGTGTTGTTTGCTCTGGCAGCGAAGGGAGCTGGATGGCAAACCCAGCATCCTGGAAAGCTGCTTTTTGGTAATGTGATGTGTTTCTCTTTGACAAATCCCTTGTGTGGTGGCATCTCGCTGAGGCAGAAGCGAGAAATAAAAGTACCTGTGAGTTTGCACAGGGATAGGTGTAAAAAAAAAAAATCCTAAGTATTTGGTGCTTCTCCTTAGCAGCAGTAAAAAAGGCAGTCTTAACGGATGTATAAAGTGATACTCGGCGAGGGATGCCGTGCCCCGAGGAGGAAACGATGACAGAAAATGCATAAAAAAGAGGGAGAGGCTGCTCCCAGGGTGTGTTTATGGATTGCAATGACTGGAAATGCGATAACGCGGATGGCGCATACCAAAGTACGAAGGGTAGTGCCTTTCCAGGTTGTTAAACCTGCGTCTCACAAAAAAAAAAAAAAAAAGAAAAAAAGAAAGGAAAAACCCCTCATACTTTGCTCTTACTAACAGGTTAATTCACTGCAATTGGCTGTGAAAAAACTTGGGGGATTTTCCCCTCCTTCCGATGCACAGCCTCTTAGCTCTCTATTTGGCAGCTGCACCTTTAGATGATTAAAAGCTGGTTTATTTGTTTTTTTAACCCACTATTCTTCCTTCCTGTGTTTATTTTCTTGCATCTCGCTGCTTGCCGGGGAGCAGTCAATTGCTCTTCCGGCTAATGTGCAAAAACCGAGATAATTTAAGGTTAGGAAATGGGAACTGCAGATGGGTGTCTCTACTTAAAAGCAAACAAGCAATAAAAGAGAAACTACAAAATTAGGGGAATACAAGAGGCTTTTGACCGTGCTGCATTTCTAAAAAATAATTGGATTTTCCTTACAGGACTGGGGAAAAATGAGACTTAAAAGTTCGCTTTGGCTTTCTAGGATACWGTGTCGGGTGCCTCCCTCTCTGAAATTCCTGGCGATGCTGCCGTGGCTGCCTGTGTTTTGGGAAGCAGTTGCAGTTACCCCCGAGCTGCGGTGGTTGTTCGGCCCTGGGGTTGCTCTGGTCTCGGCACATAGTTTCATTGCTCTGCAGTGTTTGGAGAGGCGGCAGGGTGGGATGGGGCTGCAGCGAGTTTCCAGATTCCTAACAGTGTGAGCGACTGTTTTTAATAGTGATGATAAAAACAGTTACTCCCAGTTGGAGGTTAGTCAGTGGTCCAATTATCGGAGCTATGAAACAGTGCAGAGATGGCTCCGCGTGGAAAAGCTAAAGGCCTGAAACTTGTTTCCTTGGGGGAGCTGTTTGAAACCATTTCCTGCAAGCTCGAAGGATATTAGCAAGTGCTGTTAAAGGGTGAGAGATTAGGCCAGGGTGGCTTGATTTTTTCACTCCAGTAATTGAGCTTTCAGGCTGGCAAATTTGGCCATGGGATATTGGGTTAGATAATATTATGTATATAATGTGTATACTTTCTTTAACTATGACTTGAAAGCTGTTTTTTCATTGTTAAGTCTGAAAGCTGTGTGAAAGAAAAACGAATCTTGTGGCTGTCTTTTCTCAGGCAAATTTTTCTGAAAGTTGATGCTTTGGAAATGGTCGTGACCTATGAGGAATCACAACAGAAGAATCCTTGTTGTATAGGTATTCTTGTAAAGGTTACTAAATTTTAGAGATAAAATAGGAAAGATTTCGATCAAAACTTCCCAGTRAACAAAGTACTTGTGCAAGCAGAAGCTGGACTTTACTGAAATTTAAATTCTGCTTTTTTCTTTTCTTCAAAGAATGAGTTGCAGCAAAACTCAAGCCATGGCGGGATCTTCTGAAAAGATAGTTGCTTCTGAAAATATAGWTAGTTGCTAGGCATATCTTTAACTGCAATGCTCTAAAAAAATACTTGACTGCATTGTTTCAAGTAATTTTTAGAGCTATTAATGGAAAAATATCTTTAGATMTTTTTCTGGCTACCCTTTCAAAAATCCATGGATTCAAAATTAGCTTAGATTTTACAGCGCTCTTTGGAAACCCTCATGCAAAAAGATACCACATTCAACATTGGTCTCTACTGTCGTTTGCCAAACAAAAAAGCCACCTTATCTGCAACTGAATTTGTTCAGCAGAAGTTATTCTCTGCATGTTCTTGTCTTAAAAAGCTTGTGTAAAAAAATAAGCAGATACTTGGGCTGGGAAGGGTTTTAGCAGGTCCTATTGTCTGCCTGATGTCTCCATCTGAAGGAGGTTAGTTGAGGTGTCCCTGGTCACCCACTGATGCTTTTGGATCCCAAACACTCCTGCAGTCTCTCCAACAGAATCAGTTTCCATAACAGGGAGGATTTTCACTCGGATTACTCCGTGTTGAAGCTGCTTGAATTTGTAAGTGAAACCCAGCACGAAGGCTTTTTTTTGGGGGGAAATGGGGTAGGATTCACCATTAAAAATACGGCAAAGCCTCTGTTTCCAAAAGTTGGTGCATCTTCTGTTTGTGCCCTATTGCTGAGCATGGACGTGGGCATCGAATGTGGTGCTGCAGGTTGCCCCTAAGGTTGTGTAGCTGGGGAGCCTGCCTGCCCTGTGTCTGCAGGAGTTAGGGCTGGGTTTGCACAGCCTTTCCAAATTTTAAAGCATATGGTTTGTATATCAGATGGCCAGCTGTACATCCAAACCAATGTACATATCAGGAAAGCATCTGCCTTCCTCTCTGGTGGCTGCATAGGTTGTGTGAGGACGTGACACTAAATAATGCATTTTTTTCCTGGAGCTGGCAGTAGCCTCTTCTTTGGATTTTAGTGAGAGAAGTGAATCCA